TACGCCTGCTACTGTCTCTGCAGCAACAACTCCTGCCACAAGTGTCCCCTACGCAGCAACAGCACCAGCCAATCAGGTTTGCTCCTTTTAAAGCTTTCTTTCATCAGTCCCTGGAGCTCTGAATAAGTACTGCCTTCTAATAATGTGCTGCTATAACCTGCAGCTGAGCCTTAGCCCACACCCAGCCCCTGTCCATCCATCCATCCGCCTGCACCGGGGCCAAACTCACGCTGGCACCAAAGCCCGTGAGTGGGTATTTTCCAGAGAATTTGAAGCCGAGGGGGCTACCTCAGCAAGTGCACCGTATTGTATTTCTTGTAAAAAAAAACAAAAACGCCGTGCACAGCCCCATTAGGCACTCCCAACAAGCACTTCTTCAGAGCTCCCACATTTGCAAAGTAGTAGTTGTGTTGTGTTGCACTTCTTCCTGGTTTTGTTTTGCATGTTCTGTTTTAAGTTTTATTTTCCACTTTTCTCGTTATTGTCAAATAAGCCTCTCCATCTGCAATAGGGGCCATCATTTGTACTGCTTGTGTGCTATGCAAACACACACATTCAAGCAAATACATACAGACAGTTTCTGCAGCACTCACAGCTGCGATGTTGTTTTTTTTCCCCCTTTTCTCCTGTTTCTACTCGTCCCCAGTTTCACCTTTTTACCTTTCCCTGGTCGCCGGATGAAAAGGGAGGATATATCATGTGAGGAAACAGTTACGTGCCGCGCTTGTCAGGGTGAGACAGACACAGGAAAAATGATCACAGAAGCTGTCTAAAAATGGCTTCTGATCGGCGGCTCTCCTGTTGCTGCGTGTCAGCAGGAGCCAGGGAAGCAGGGCCAGGTTTGAATACCAGAGTGACGCATGTGTGCCCCATTTTAAACCTGGAAATTTCAGCACAATGCTGGCACTCTAACCTCACGCAGCTGGCAATCATTTACTGGTAGTTCAGTATAGAGGTGCCTTGAGGACACACAGATGAGAAGTGTTCTACAGGTACAAAGGTATTATGGAAATCCAGTCTCCTTGCATGTGTGTTGAGTTCTTATATAATTGAAGCCTCTAACAATATTTTTTAAAAAAGTTGCTATATCCCATCTGGAGTGAATAAAATGAGAGTGGAAGCTCACGAGGTAAAACATAAAAATCACAGGTTCATTTTAAAATAAAATAAAAAAGAAATGTAATTTCTCTGATATTCCCCTTCCATCATTAACCAAAGATCTGGCCCCCGGTACCTTGTGCTTTATTGCCCCTCATAGGCCAGCAGTGTGTGCACTTCCTGTGAGTCACCGTCTCTTTCCTGTAATTGGCATGCAGCAGCAGTAGCAGCAGGAAGCAGAGCTGCTCTTTAAAGATGCATGTGGGACAAGGAGCCGGAGAAACACTGACGTCAGCCCTCGCTGTCTGTCTCCTTCTGTCCCCCCTCTCTGTTTCTCTCCCACCCGCCCCAACACCCTCCCCGCTCTGCATAAAGATCCTTCCAGCTAGGACACAGTTAACACTCACTGTATCATCACCAGCTGTACTGCATACAGTACACGCCTCGTTTACTACAGTCATCCCCACCGTATGGTTTTTTCAGAATAAACACCCAGATTCTTTTCCCTTTCTTTTTTTTTTTTCTTTAAGAGCACACGCTGCAGACGTCATTGTCTCAGCTGATAAACAACCTCTCAGTCCCAAACTGTGAGCAGCAAATCCTGAGTTTGTCCCAATGCTAGCTGGTTAGCTTCAGCCATTAGCATCCCCCTAATTGTTACGTGCCTTCTTACACGTATACCCTGGCCCGAGACAGTTTAGCCAGAACGCAGTGAGGAGAATTAAATGATAATGAATCTCGTGCTTAAAGATACAAACACAGCAAGACACATGTGTTGATGAGCTCAGACGTAAATAAAATGAGATAAATAGTGAGTGTAAACACGCACTGAGGGACAAGGTGTTGCAGACGTGTCGAGAGGTTCAGAGTCTGGTCAACTCATGACCCTCCGAGCTGTCACTGTGACATGACACGCAGTAACCAATCACATCATTCCATGTTCCAGCTCATCTAAACCATGTGTTAACAGTGCTGGGCTCTCTGGTAACGTCACTGCTCTCGCTGGAGACTGTGAAGTAGGAGCGCCCTCCACTGTCTGAACATGGCATTACACCACATACTTTACTGAACTGATGGGACGATAAGTTGTTAGAATGAAATAGAATTAGAGATTGTTATATTGAGAAGCTCTTCAGCTAGAGGACCAGGGTTCAAGCCCCTCATCTCCTGTAGTATTCTTACACATTTGTATTAATCTATGACAACAGACTAGGTCACTATAGATCTAGGTCGCCAACTTGACGAATAATAATCTGATATTAATCTTTAAAACAGCTCAGACCTCCACCATGATTCTGTAACACACATTTAATTACCCAACCACTGTGTCTTCTTCCTGCCTCGTTCTGGCCTGAAACATGCTGCTAGTATTACTGCGCCAAATCTAAAACAAACAGAACCTGCAAACAGTTCTCTGTGTTTGTTTTTTACCCCCCCTGTGGTACCAGATGGGCGGGGTGTACCATCCTATCTGGCTGATCCCACCCATCTGGCACCCAGGAACATTTTCCTATTTCCATACTGCTCCATCGGGCGGGCTTTCCTCTCAGCCCGTGCACATCACACGCTCTTCCACATGCAGTGACCTTCTGTGATGTGTGATGTGACCAGTGGCTTCTGTCCTTTGCTGGCTGTCTATTGTCTATTAACAAGCACCATGCAGCTTTGTTCTGTGTCGGCTTGCTGCCAGTGGTAACCACATGATGGCAGCCAGCAGCTCTTCTACCTGTCCCCCCCCTCCCCCAATAGACAATCTCTCTCTCTCTCTCTCTCTTCGTCTTTTTCTCTCGCTCTTTGTCATGTGCTGGATTAGTCTTTATCTCCTCAAGAGAGAATACACACAGAGGTAACCAGGCCTGGGTCAAATGCTATGTGCAAATAATTAGGAGCTCTTATCTGCACAAAACACCAAGACAGGTGGCGTGAACACAACACAACAACGGACAGAAAAGTCCTGTTCATGGACAAATATATCTGTCATTGTCTCAACAGTCTGGGAGACCGTTGTTGTCGGTACACAGCTGATGCCTAAATATCTCAGAATGCTTCAACAAAGTACAATTGTGTTGTCCAACAACGCCTTAAAGCAAAAGTGTTTGTTTCGAATGGCCTCACTCAGAGGTGGTGGAAAAAGTCTGCCTTCTTTTGCCTCATTTCCCCTGCACAGTACCACTCGACTCACTTGGTACCGTCTTTTTTGGTTGTCCATCAGGTTGTAGTCAAAACACCGCAGACCGCTGTTTGTTCAGGGAGAATCGTCAAAGACAAGTAGCCGGCACCCGAAACAAGTTGTGTAGAGTCAAGTCGAGCCATACCGTGAAGTGGAAATAAGATTATAGCCTCCTGCCGGCTGCATCCCACTGCCAACCTGATCTCTCTCCAAGAACTCTCTTTTGCATGTCTTCAGAGTCTCGACGCAATGTACAAAAGAGGATAACTTTCAGACAGTCTCCAACCGAAGGCACTCGGCTGTAAACACAACTAGTGACTGAAATAGTAACGTAAAGAATGTAACCAATTTGGAGATTTTCCAACCTGTTATTTAGTCTGGTTGAATTGGGCTCTGGTTTGTTTTTCATTCTTGGTACGAACACAGCAATCGTACTCGGGTGAGGACCAAAACAACTGCACCAAGATCTTTTATAGGAAGTGTTCTCGGCCCGGGTTACAAAAGAATTCTGGAGTGGTTTGTTTGTGGTGGAAGATGATTGGACTACTACAGGCCATTCTCTACAACTTTGGGTGTGGACAAGTGGACAGTGGACATTACAGATGCATTTTTGTCCACTTTTATTTTTTCCAAATTAAACGGCACAACACAAGACATTTACCAGCTCATCTGCTGATTCGTACCAGAGCAGAACTTCAAATTCACTCCTCCACACCTGACCACTCGCTACATAAAGTGGGCGCGATTGTCGGATTGTCCATTTCAGGAAGTTACATTAAATCGGTGGACATATTGCGATGTCCTTATGGTGGTTTCAGGCGTTGTTAGATGATCTGACAAGCACTTTGTCTGAAGCACACTGAGGCCTTAAGTAGGCAGAAAAAAAGGCAAATACTGTTTGACCCAGATCTCTAGGAGACTCCAAACACAATAAAAACATTAGTTTTATCTACTCGTGTTGTTACCTATATTATTATATGTTTAAATGAATCAAAATCAGTTGAAACTTCACTGTCACACACTTGTGTACTGAGCCCTGGCAATGCAGATTCAGTACTTTACATTATTCATGTGAGTAAATAAAATTTCTCTCCTACAGGTAAACTAAACTTTCTCTCTCCTGTTCTCTCCCTCCCTTTCTTGTGTGTGCCTCTCTGTCGCTCTCCTTGCAGATCATCCTGAAGTAAGCGTCAGGAAGGGAATTGAGTGTCACGAAGCTGCACTAGGAAACCCAAAACAGCCCCTGTGTAAATACTACCTTACCTCTCCCATAGAGGTCCAGCAACCTGCATGCTAAGAGTGTAACACTTCAATTTAACCATAAGAACTGCAGTGCCGGTGTAACACACACACAAAAAAAAGATATATCCTGTATGTATTGCTAGAAAAAAAACTATTAACATGAAAAAGTCAAAAATATTCTTATGTATAGTACTACATACATAGCAGACACACTATAGAGGTCATTTTAACACCTGTTCTCCCAAAGTACCGTGGATCCCCTCTCTTTCATATTTATTCTAAAAACCGCTGCACAACGTTCATCCCTTTGGTTCGGAAAAAAAAGAGACGCTTGATCTGCACTACGTGAAAACTACAGTGCTTAACGTTGAAGTGGAAAACAGGAAGAGTCACAGAAAAAACCCGTGCACAACCACACCAACGCACTCGTCGCTTTCAAGAAGGTTTTCGTCTTCGTGTTTTTTTTTTCTTTTCTATACAAAAGTTGAATGTCCTCGGGGCCCATGCGAGGGTCCAGCCGTGACCCTCATCTGCCCCAGATGCTGTTAAGATGCCATGATGAAGCTTATCCTCCCTCCCCCGCCAACTTTTCATCCCCGGAAACATCTTGCCAAAGTCGCAGCTTGGAGGAAGTCGGCGGAATCCAGAAAGCAGAGCCACCTTTTTTTTTTTAACACCCCGATAAATTCTTTTCGTTTTTCTCTCTTGCCATTGCGAAAGCTCCTCAGAACGCACCCTTTATTTGTTTCGGTGCTGGGTTCAGTTCTTTGTTCGGGAGGAGCGGCAGGCGGGGGCAGGGAGAGAGATTGTGCACGGATTTTTGCATGTAGTCGGGACTGGGGGAGACAGTGCCCAGTGTTGACAGAAGATAGTCGTGGCCATTACCGAAAAGCCTAAAGGCTCGGGTCTGTGCCAAGGGCTTTACAAAGCTTGAGGGTTCATTCCAGACATACCAAGCCTTGTGTGTGTGTGTGCATGTGTGTTCGTACCTGGAGACTGATGGTCTGCCGGCAGACTGGGACTTGAAGCGAGGTCTAGCAGGTGATGACAACACCAGGCCTGGTAGGAGAGGTTTTTCAGGCGGTGGGTGAGGGACTTAAGTGCTAAGACTAAACAAAAAACAAAACAAAAAAAACAACAACAAAAAAACAACAAAAAACAGTGCATTTGACGATGCCCGTCAAGCAAAAGATGACTTGAACTTCGACTGGAGGGCTATCTGTGACCGTCGGTTGTCCTGTCCAACCCTACTATCACCGATAATCCTGTTCCATTTTAGAAAAAACTGTAGAAGTGCCTAAAAAATGCTCATCAACAACACACGCATCCAAGAGTGTATCACTAAAAAGTCACAGACACAAAAAAACACTGGCTATCAGAAGCTACACGGACCTTTTCGGGAAAGACATCACATTTTTTTGCGAACCGTTACTGGAAGCAGTTTTCTAGCGACCGTTCGTTAACATCACAAGTGACTTTATCGAAAAACAAAAAGAAGTTAAAGAAACGACAAATCAAAAATAGCTTTGTAGAATGTGTGGTGACTTTCATGGTGTACCATCGTTTCTTACCATGGTTTGAGTAGTTTACATGAGGAACGTGAGTGAGGAAAAAAAATGTATTGTAAACTGTGTAATGTATGTAAAGTGTCTCTTATTTTGAGAGTTTATATTCACGGTTCTAGAATTGTATTCAAAGTTATTTAAAATTTGTGTTGTGTCTATTATCAAGGTATGTTTGAACCACCCCCCCAAAAAAACCCACCCACCCTTCACACCATCTCCACCTCTACCCAGAACAATCATTTGTCCTTCAGCCAAGGTCATAAATTGTTATTTTATTATTTTAGACACTCTTTTTTTTGTGCATTTTATCCAGGTTTAACCCTAGATACTAAATCCTATTTTCCATTATTCCAAACGTTCTGATGTAAATTCATGGTGCTTGATTAACATTGACAATCCACAATCATACCTTGGAACGAGAGTGCTCCACTCTGGTTTTCACACTTTGGTTTCATTCACTCTGATTGTCTTCACATGCATTATGATTTGTATGTAATATTTGTGGAAGGTGGTAAAAGTTCTATTTTGTTGTAATTTATCTTATGTTACTCTTGGTCAAATTTTAGTCAAAAACAATGTTGTTAACTATTCTATTTTGAAATGAATGTAATTTATTGAGCTGTGCTACATTCTGCACGGTTGGTCATTTCAAGGTCTAACCTGTCAGGTCAGCGAATGAGAAGTCGCACACGTCTGAGGGGTGGGGCTTAAAAGTCAACCCACCAATAGAAAGCTACTGGATCTTTCTTGCCTTCTCATTGATTAAAAAGATCACGGTGTTGCAGTAATGAGCATAGTTATAGAGTTGCTTGTGTTGTTGGAAAAAAAAATGTTTATTGTATAGATGACATTTTACCAAAAAAAGAGAAGAAAATTTCAAAAAAGATGTACTTTTCACTCTAGTATAATAGTATTTCATAACAATATTAAGTTGTTGCTGTGGCAACCAAATGTTGCAATTACTAAAGTTCGGTATTTTTGTAAATGACATTGTTAAGTTGAGTTTTTGTTTCTTTTTGCTAGAACACTGTACACAAGGTAGATTGTAAAGAAGATATGAACATTTCTTATTCTTCACTGAGATTATGACAATGACCTAATATTTTCATTAGCAAATAACAGCCTCTATAGTGCTGTGACTGTAACACTTAAATAGATTTAAAGTCATCAATGTTACATAGATTATATATAAATATATATATATAAGAACTAAATAATCTATAAATTAATAAGTTCAGATGTACAACTCTTCCCCCGACAAAGGACCTTTAGGTTCCACACCGAGACATTTTATTCGAGGCGTATGTATCACTAGAGTTAAGGATTGCACTTTTCATATTGTTCAAAGATGTGATCTGTTTTTCATTTCCTTTAAGGGTTTCGAGGTTTTCTGCCCCCTGCTACTCCAGTAAATCTGTTTATCAATCAAAAGCAGATATTACCAGTAAATAACTTTAATTCAACATGTTGCATGAGACACAATATTTTTCCTTTCTTACTAAACGATAACGTACTGAATGTTTCTAGTGAAAAGAAAAAAGTCTGTACACACAAAATGTCCTCATTTGGTGACCCACAATGCCCTTGTGTATGGAATCCTCTTGAGATGTAACGTCTTTTTTTGAAAATGTGTTCGCAATGATTGATGGTAAAAAATGTAAGCACTTTCTGAGCAGTTGGTCAACTGAGCAGACTCAGCTTATCCAAACACTTTGCCTTATCTTGAGTCCATCGTGCTTAAGGTTTTATGTTTTAAGGAGCTCTTAAAGAAATTTATTCGAGAGACCTGAACAGGGTCTCTCTTCTCAAATCCCTTCTCAGTTTCATTTCAAATATGTATCTTTATATCTAAAACCATTTTTTAAAGTTTTAATGTGAGCATCACAAGGCCAAAACGGGCGACTGCGACAGAGTGAACAGTCGTTGATCTTTACCTCTCGTCTCCAAAATCTGTAGTGAGATCTTTCTGTCCCATTGCCTTACAATGGAACTGTTCAGAGCTTGTAATTCACAGCTTTAGCCAGCAGAGTGCACTACACTGGAGACTGCAGGTTAGGACCGGTGACTGCCTGTGCCATCATGGTTGCAGTGCGCCCTACCAACAAAGTAAAGATAAATTGACAAGACCCTCATCGGATTTATAGTTTCAATGTAATCATTTTTCAGTGTATTCTTTTTGCATATATTTTGTGCTATTTTATGTTTCTATAGTCAAATGTTTCTTTGGTTCCAGCAAGATAGTGTAAAATCTATTGAAAGAAAGAAATAAAGAAAATCAAATGAATGGTTTTTGCCTGTGTCTCTTATTTGTGTCATGTAAAGGTCCCGTTTGTGTCCCAGACTCATTTCAGTGACCCCCAACGACACATTAGCTTTTTAACTTGTTGCAGGATTGTAACTGTAAGGCTAAACGTCCTTTGACTGAAATATCTCTGACCCCTAGTCTTTCTTCAGGGCCCCCTCAAAGACCCCTGTTGGTCTCTGAAGTCCACTTTGGGAACCACTACCATAGAAGTAAATAAACAGCAGATCACAGGTGAATTAAAACAACCAGCTCTACAAATACACAAAAATGATGCTGCTTTTATTAAAGTCGGTCTCTAGAATGACATTTATTGTCACAGATGATAAACATAATGATAAGGCCTCGGACTGGGAGAAGCTAACTCTTATTTGTTGTTTTGTATGTCATTTCCTGTTACTGCAGTGGAGTTTTTTTTGAAAAAATATCTATATGAGGGGTCATTAATACCACTGTTTTAATAGCTGTAGTACAGTTGCCATACTACCCAACCGTGATGTGTGAAAAAGTAGGGCCATGTCTCTGTTGACAGCAGGTCGAGAGCACCGGATAGAATGTTAGAAGCACCCTGCTGGTCGGCACATTCAGAAAATTCATTTGAGACCGGTCTCGAACAACTCCCGTCGTCTAATGGGCGCTTAACCGGTTCCCCGCAGGTTTCGTGACCGCTAAGTCTTTAAAAGTCATTTTAGCAAATGCCCTAGAAACAAAATAACATTCAAGGGACAAAGCCCTCTCGTGGCCATTAGAATTATGACTGAAATATTGAGACATTATGCCACAGAGTTTGCAGAGACAGGAGGTGGTGGATGCTGAAGATGATTTTTCCTTGTTTTTTTGCCTTGTCAGTGGTTCTCAAACTGTGAGAGTGGCTTTGTCCCACTGCAGGGGGCGTGGATGACGAGGGGAAACATATGGAGTGAAATTAAGTTGAATGAAAATGAATAATGTAGGGAAAATAAACAAGAGTTGCTGCCATTGTGCTGACCTTTATTTCACTAAAATGCAACTTATATCCTTTTTATTTGCTTCCCCTATCATTGTTAATGTTTGACAAAACTTGTGCGGTGGTGAGGCTTGATCCTTTTTTTAGTGCAGAGGGCTGCCTGGTGCCACCCCAGTTTGGTGTCAAATGTATCACAATAACTTAGATGAAGGTCCAGTGTGTAAAATTTTGTGGCATCTAGCAGTGAGGTTGCAGATTGCACAGACATTAGCTATAGCTAGGTAGAAAAGTACACACCAACAGTGTTTGTCTGCCTTCGTGTTAATATGATCATATTTACTCTATAATTACATAACAGAAAGCATTTCCTCTCAAGTCTTCTAAAAAACATATTTTCCCTTGAACAGGGAATTTTCAGTATAAAGTTTATTGTGTGGTTTTGTGTATGGGTGGAAATCCCCTCATACATATTATAGCTTTAGTCTTTTATTCACTGACTTTACCTAGCTTTTTCAACAGTAATATTATGTTTTTGAGCTCAAATATCTTCATTTGGGGGCCTATATGCGATAGTTTGTGATTAAATCAGCATATATTTCTGCCACCCCTACTCCATGCCACCCTCCTGCCACTGCATGAATATTTCTTTAGATCTGCCCCTGGGCACAGCCGATGAGAATCCCTCCAAACCTTAAGAAGAACTATTTTTGCAACAAATATTTGTGACAATTTTGGAAGGCAATGAGCAGTCAGTCAGAGTTGCTGAGAGAAAGTCTGTTTGTCGTCATAATTAATGCTAAATCCATGACATTAATAGTTTTGTGCATTCTTTAGAATGGCCTGGATAATTAATAGCCTATTTAATAGTTATTAACAATATTTTTTACACAAATGTCATAATTATTTAGCGGATAAAGCTGGTATAATGGCTATAATGGTTTTCATTATGCCAGATTTTAGGGGGTGCATTATTATTAGGCAATAAGCAATGTGGATTTATGAATACTTATATATTTGTGATTCTGATTGCAATTACATATTTTTATTTATTTTATTTTATTTTATTTTGTCTTGCAGTATAGTTTTCCATTCTGGTAGCACTCTCCATTTATTAGTTTGCTATCCTGTATTTGGTGACAGTGTTTCCAGAGCAAATAAAAAAAATATCCAAAATATAAACCAAAAATGATACACAATATTATTATTTATATTATATTATATTACATATTATATCCCTGTCAGAAACGTCCCTGCTTCTCTCCATCCACTGCCCCTCTGTGTGGCACTAATCACCCCCCATATATTCCAGGAAATAGCAACATCCAGTGGATGCACCGACTCCAGAGGCGTGGATTCCCAGCTCTGTAGTCTTTAAGGATAAATCTGCTCTTTGCCTTTAACTGTGCCCCACTGTGCAGAGAAATGTAGTGCTAGCCTTCTGTTTTGTCGGCGCATAAAAAGATGTGCCGTCTAGTTGCTTCTAATAATAGCCAATCTTATTTTTACCACACCGACGCCTTATTGCATTATGGATGCCTCTGGAATGGTGTCCCTGCAAGATAGCGTGGGAATATTCCAGTAGAGGCTGTGGCTGTGCATCTCAGGGCTAAATGCTCCAGCATCTTCTCACTTCACCCGCCTATAACTGCAAGAGCATCTCATTTACCGCAGGCTGCTCCTGTGTCATGGCTGTAGTGTGAGTCCGGGCGAGGCTGTGCGTTGGGGATGCGTTCCTTCCATCCGCTGCTGTAGACTTTATTCTCTGCATGCCGGATTTAACTCCACGGGAGCGCTATGCGGGAGTATAAGGTGGTGGTGCTCGGCAGCGGCGGGGTGGGGAAGTCCGCCCTGACGGTCCAGTTTGTCACCGGGACATTCATAGAGAAGTACGACCCGACCATTGAAGATTTCTACAGGAAGGAGATCGAGGTGGACTCCTCGCCGTCGGTGCTGGAGATCCTAGACACAGCCGGCACCGAGCAGTTCGCCTCAATGAGGGACCTTTACATCAGGAACGGCCAGGGCTTCATTCTGGTCTACAGTCTGGTCAACCAGCAAAGTTTTCAGGACATCAAGCCCATGAGAGACCAGATCATCAGGGTCAAACGGTGAGACATTGTCCACTTTATTATATAGACCAGCATTGTAGTCGAAATGATGCAATAGGCCAGAGGTTATTAATTATGCTTTAGGCCTCTTAAATACTCACATTAAAGGGGCAATATGGCCACTAAAAGTTGCTCGTGTTGGTTAGAGGGGAAGGTATAATTATCATTCATTCACTCATTTATCATTCTTTACATCCCCTAATTGATTTATAGTGGAATAAAACAAATAAACTGCTTGTCATCTTGCTGGAGTACCCCCTGGAACCTCCCAAGGGCCCCTAAAAGTCCACGAACCCCACTTCAAGAGCCACCCAAAAAAATTGTGTTTTTTTACAATTCGGCCCAGGAATCTAAAACTTGCATCCTCTCAGCTTCCTCCTCTTCCTCTCTGTCTTGAGGCGCTTCGTGAGAAGCTGCGACCAGCTCATATGTTCTTCATAAGAGCCCAGCTGCGGCTCACCTGTCATACATCAACCCGCTGAACTCTCACTGGGTTTGATATTCTCTGTCTCTCACACATGACTTACTCTGGATGGCTTTGATCATTCGAGTCCATTACTCAACAAATCCACTGAGCTCATCTCATGGCTGGGAGAGAGAGAGAGAGAGAGAGAGAGAGTGGAAGAAAAACTGGAATCTTTGCTTTTTGTAGTGGTATATTCGTGTTTTTGGCTTGGACCCTCCCTTTATTTGTTTAATGACAGACTACGGCTATGACTGCAGTCTGCTAGTTAAGAATGTATTTGGTTTTTAGTTAAAAGGGCTTGGATCGATTAAGTCTAATACTTTAGGTGCCGTGTCAAGACACTAGCAGGACAAATATGATGAAGTCACTCGACTGACAAAAGTCACTTAAGGATATTCAGGTTAGAAATTACAATTTAAAGACATTTATGTCAGTGATGTGTGCACAATTTCACAATGGGTGACTACCTATTGGGCCCCAAACTTTCAAGTGTAGAGTCTACATTCTCCTCCCTCTTATTTTAATTTTAAGAACATTTTAAAGCTCCCCTCCGCTCAAAAATCAGTTTCTCTTCTTGTTCCTACAGTGTGAGGTTTGAATGATGTATGTGCAGAG